TGGCACTGCCTACATGGCCACTGGCTGGGGCAGGATCTTCCTCTCCGTCATAGATGTCAATACTGGCAACGCGAGCGACAAGGTAGAAATATGGAAGGGCACTGGTGGCAACAATCCTGAGGCACCGCATATCTACAAGAAAGACGGCTTCTTTTACCTTCTTATCGCAGAAGGCGGTGCTGGTCTCGGCCACAGCGCTACCATCGCACGATCTCCAGACCTCTATGGGCCATATGAGAGCTATCTGGGAATCCCGTTCTCACCAATAGAGGATCGGGCGAGCTCTTTCAATCAGTCGGACATGCAGACCTGTTTCGAGATGTTGACGACAACTGGTGGGCTGTTGCGCTGGCAACACGGTCAGGTCCGGAGCTCGAGAACTATCCTATGGGTCGAGAAACCGTGCTTACGGCCGTGACTTGGGAGAATGACTCTTGGCCAGTATTCGATCCTGTGCGCGGCACCATGCATGGTCCTCTGCCAAGAACTACGGCATCACCTCACAAGAGACTTCTAATCGATACCGGAGACGAGGTCAACTTCAACCCAGGGACTTCTTTACCGCATCATTTCGTTCATTTTAGGTCTAAGGTCGAGGAAAAGTACACCATTATCAATAGCTCACTACGACTATTGCCATCTCGAAGCAATCTGACGGGGAGCACAGATCACTTCGATCCTGAAGATGGCGTAACGTTTGTCGGCCTAAAACAGACAGCCACCAAGTTCAGCTTTTCGGTCGATCTGTCATTCGTGCCCAAGAACTTTGGAGATGAGGCGGGAATCTCGATCTTCCACAGTCAACAACAGCACATTGACTTGAGTGTCGTGCTGCTTGAAGATTCCGATAACCCACAGCTTCGGATGGCGGCAACCACATATGGCCGGCCAAGCGCTCCAGTCCCTGAGACAGTACTGCAATCAGTGCCCAGGGCTTGGGTTACTTGTCCTATCCGACTATCAGTTGAGGCACTTGACACAAATGATTACAAGTTCGTGGCGTCTTCAACTTGCAACCGAGTAAATGCAAGCATAGACATGGGCATGGTCAGTTCGGACGTGACCAGTGGGGGATTTCTCGGTGCGTATTCATAATTGCTTCAAAATCTGTGGTGTAATCTGGGCGATTCCTTTGCTGATAGCAAAAATGTGACAGGCAGCTTGATCGGAGTAAGGTAGATGTGGACGAATATGTACCAGTCTAAAGATTCTACCTTAGCGTACTTGCCCTCGTAGCAAATTAATTCCAGGTCATATGCTTTCATCCTTCTCATCTGAAGTGGCTAGATAGAAACTTGGAGACCTCATCATTCTCCATGGCTTTAGCACAGTCTAACACCGATTCCCCGCTAGAGTTTCGTGACTCAAGACACTCTCTCTTTGAACGCACTGCTTGGATATGAGACAAGCATAGCTTTACCTGCTCGAGGGTTCCATTTCTAGCAACGGCGTGAAGCGGTGTCTCTCCATCATCATCGGCTAAATCGGGTAGCGCCCCATGATGTAGAAGGACTCGGAAAGCATCCGTTGACGCATGATGCTTGCGGCGATACATTCCCTCCCTTTGATTGAAGAGACAGTAAAGAGCTGTTCTACCTTGAGGCCCTGGGCGGTTCGGGTTTGCGCCTTTCTCCAGGAGTCCAATCACAGCACCGATGCAGTCCTTGTACGAGGCGGCGATGTTGATGAGGGGCTCATTGGAAAGGTAGTCTTCCGCATTCGGATTTCCACCGGCATCGATGAGTCGACAAACCAGTCGTTGCTGACAAAGATGTTCCTCGACGGTCGGGGGTCGCTTTGTTGGGTTCTCGGCCAGTATCATTCTTCTTGAAACCGACTTGCAAAGCGCATCTTGGACCACCCTAGGCTCGAATGAAGCCTTCGCCAGTAACAACGCCACGGTATCATCGCACCAAGCCGATGCTGCATCGAGTAGCGCCCGGTCCATCTCATCCTGCCAACCATCCCAGACTTCAAGAAAGTAAGCCATCACATCTGTTTGGCCGTTTCGAGCTGCTACGCGCAGACAAGTGAGCTGACCAGGCCTGAAATTTCTAGTCGGCAAGAATCGTCCCTTGGGACCAACTTGCTCCCAAAAGAAGCGGGCCATCGCAAGTGTACCGTACTGTGCCGCGGCAAATAGTGGTGTGAATCCAGGGTCTTGAGTCTGCCTCACCGTCACGCTGACGCCTGAATCGATCATCATCCGGAATGCCACATCATCTCTTTTCGAGATTGCATAATGCAAAGCCCAGCCTATGACATGATCTGGATCGACCTCAGGACTCCAGTTCTTTAGAATCTTTGCCAAGTACTCCCTGTCTCCTGGTTTGTTTCCATGGCTGAGATAGGGCTCCACGACATTATAATAATTGATTTGTCGAGAGCTCAGCGGGGTCTCCATGGCGATTGTTTGATTTTGGTAAAGTTCGAATCGGTTGGTGGAGGATGGAGAAAGGTACAAAAAACGGTGGCAGAAGCAGGATAAACAAGGCGACACCCCTGTCAGTCTTGTTAATAAGTTTGCCACCATGATTGAGGCCAAAATCGAGGTCAAATTCCAGTCTAAGAACATGAATCAATTGTTTCAATTGCATACAAATCCCGATAAATGCATCATTTTACCATCAAACTCGTAAATTGCCATGGATGTTTTAAGGGCAATCCCATGCTGTGTCGTCACACTCTTGCGGCTTAAATTGTCAAGTCTGTCGGAATATGCCTACGGAAGACTTCAACACTGTGCATTGTATTTGTGTTTTAGTGAATATGGTCCTATTAGCTCTGTTATAATAACTCATATGTTTCCCATCCTGACAAGGAGATCATCATGGTACTTGGGAGAGCTTTTACAACCGAGCTCGAGCGAGAACATGCTGAATTGGTGTGTCTTATTATTTGTGGCAGGTTTGAGCCACCGTCTGACGACTATTAGAGGGCCGGTGTGGATTTCTCAGGTCGAAACTTTCTTGACTGGTATCGAGAAGGTTCAATCTCAGTTATGGGATTGCGCGGCGCAGAATGAAGATACCAACTAAGGAGTCCTTCATTACATAGAAAGAATATTCCTCTGTAGAAGTTGGCCATATTTCGCGATGTCAGGAAGTCATATAGATGCCGTCTTTATTACTCGGAGACGAAGTCAGTTCACGTGAGCTAGCCTGTCAAGAGTTGTGGTGCAAGATTTGTCATGGATAGGTTCTTGTCATGCTTGATCAAACATCCACCCTAATTAAGTGTTAGGATTTCAGTCAGCTTATTACCAAAAATGCGAGTGCAATCTTCTGTGTGCAAACTACTATTTTCGGGTTTGAATGAGTCGTAAAGAGGCCTAGCATTGCTGAGCACTGCTGACGTAGATGCTGCACAAGATGGAATTCGTGAGCAAAAGCCGCTCCCGCTTCACCGGCTTCATCTGGTTTCGGACTTTCTAGTTGCACAAACTGCAGTTGTTCACCTGACGAGCTAGAAGCTTTTCCCGCATCTTCCGTAAAAAAGCAAACAGAGGCAGAGCAGACTCATCTGATGCTCGTTTGCTCCTTCGTTTTCACTCCTTGTTTGAGATGAGATGAAAAGGACAGTGAATCACAATTTGACAGAGATTTCAACGTAATTAATTGTCGTGATGCGGCTTCCGCCTTTAAAGCACTCAACTTGGCATTTATTAACCACTTTTACCTTTACCAAAATTCACATCCTGACTAGCTCATCGGCAACAACTACGGCAAAACAACTAAGATTTTCAGCACCAGCATCGAAGCACCACAGTAAGAACGCAAAATGCATTCTCATCGCCGCAATCGTCACCCTCAACTATCTTCTCCGACCTCAAATCCTTTCTTGACCTCAGCTCGTCGCTCGCCCTCTCCGTCTACCTTGTCTCCCCCTCTCAGATCCCCTCTGAGACCTCCTCGCCAGCTCAACCCTCTCTTTTCAGACGACATGCCAGAACTTGCCTTGTCTTACTCGCCGACACGCGAATCTCTGTTCCTCGTCGGCCACCCCCCATATGAGTCGTACTTTCCATCCCCGCAACATCACAACGGCTTTCGCGGTCTCTCCTCCCCGGACAGCGGCTCAACGACCCCAGTCTCTGACAGACAGGGGGAAAGATCTCACAGCACAGACGTACGACCAAGCACTGAAGACCGCCATACGCTTTCTTCTACTCCACAAGAAATTTTTGAGATGCAAGACAACTGGGTTCACATTCCTACTCCTCCCTCGACGACCCCGAGACAGTGTCGTCGCGATATCCAATCCTCCGAGACTCAAAGAATGCCTTGTCCTGACGGCCAGCATCGCTACGTGCCGCAGCTTGTGGGAATCTTCGACATCGACATCCCTGACCAACACGTCTCCGATTTGACAATCGCTGACATACAACAGCACATCTCACACCTGATCGCGGAAGAGCCGAGACCTCGCGCGTCCGCGCCATCCCCACCTGCCTCCGCTCCGCGTCCCTACCGCCGGCCGGGCAGTGCTAGTCTCCGCAGACAATACACGGACTTACCTGAGGGACAAGATGTCGAGATGCCTCGTCTTTCACGAATGCCTCCAAACGAAGCCTCCTTGAGGTGCAGGTGTGAGGAGTGCACGTGTCCTCGAGATGCCGACTTTTACGGGGACATGCTGACGGAGGAACAGAGGAGGTTCTGCGGGTACTGCCGAGCGTATCATGGTGGTCAGGCCTATCCTTTCTACTAACGGTCAAATTGGAATTGCCTCCAAATACATTCAAGCGTTAGATCATGTTTCCGTCCAGTGTCTTTCATAGAGTCGTGCTCGAAGTAGTTTAGAATTGCAGTTTGTTCTTACACCTAGTGATCGTCACATCATGGTGATGCATCTGTGTGAAATACTTGCGGTTCTATACATGTTTATCTTACATGGAGCCTATCTGTAGCTCTTTGGTATCTATACATATTAGTATCTTCCATTTTTCCTCTTGCCCGGCGCCTTAAAACTTTCTCGTCGACTCGTTCCTGGCATCATACCATTTCCCCTGTCCCCACCGCCGTTGACGTCAACCGTGAAATACGCATCCCCCCTCTCAAGACTATCCTCCGATCTATTATCCAGTTCTCTTCTGCTATCCCTCTTGGACTCTTCAATAGTAATCTCCACGTTCTTGCTGATCCCTCCAGATGTTGGCATTGGTGGGATATTCCGCGGCTGATTCAGATGCTCCTCACTCCCTGTTCCGGTGATCTCGGTGATTGGGTACTGGCTGAACGGCTGTCGTCCCTTTTTGCGGTTCTTGCTATCCGGTACGTCGTCGAGCTTGATGCTTCCGGGTTGAGGCAAATTGGGTCCTTTTGAGCCGTACTTGTTGTTCGTGTTGCTGAGAGGTAGGGTGCTGACGACTGTGCCAAAAATGGGGCTAAACCACCTGCGGATGAGGGGAAAGATCATGGGAACGTTGGTAGTGACAACCGCGACGAAAGTCTCGCGAACGGCCCACGATCCTGCTTGTGAAGCGCCATTGACGGGGTCCTGAGAAAGTATTAGGTTGGCCCAACCATGGAGAATGTAACTGTAGCCTACCGATATAATGAGGACGCAGCGCAAGATTCCTGCCATCGTCACAAAGATTCCTCCCGAAAATAGTACAATCAGTCCCAGCTTCTTCCTCAGGGGCAACTTTGAGAACCACAGCATCGGGATCGGGATGCTCATAAGATATAGATCGGTCAAAACGTTCAAGACGACGGTGACGAGAATGTTGACCTTGGAAATCGCAGGTTGACATGTATCTGGCGGCAAGTAAGCAAGTGCATCTCCTGACGTTACTTTCGTACTTACTCCCTGGGTCGGGGTAGATTTGCCAATTCTTGTGCGTCGGAAAGCAGCTGAAGATTATTGAGAAGAACACCGTGAGCCATGTAATCACAATCAGTGCGAAACCTCCGTAGATTCGCTTTTGGAAGTTGTGAAGTCCTTCCTGCACCTCTGTCAGCTTCGTGGCCGTAACCGCGTGTCTCGAGAGTTGAACGCACCGTAAGGCGAAGGAAAAAGGTGCACATTGCGGCTTTCGCGGGCCAGAGCACCAAACAGCTGTACGTGATCCATCCCGCAATTTGTGTTTTTGACCCGTTGACTCTTCACAGCTGTGTCAGCTAGAGATGCCATCTTCGAGGAGGCCCAGTATTCGTACCTTATCCTGTACTCTTCGCTATTGGGATCTAGATTTCTCCTCTGTTCGTCCGTCATGCCATTGTTGGCAAGCCCTTGCCAGTATGCTCCGACGCTATATGCGAGAGCAGTCTCGGCTGAATATGTGCACTACAGGCCATGAGTGTCAGTTGGACTAGCGTGCAGCTTTTGGGAAGAAACTCACTGCAACAAGAAGCATCAGGTAGTCATCCGCCTGCAGATGCTTTATGCCGACGGCGCTAATTCGCGCATACGTCCGCAAAGCGATGACTCCAAGCCCCACGCCCAGAAGCGCAAACGCCTCTGTAGCAAAGTCGTCGGACATGCTGTGTTCATGACACCAGAGACCTTTGGCGCACGAGGTTTGGGGTGAGCAGGTCCCCAATTTAGTCACATGGCAGCCCGAGCATGCCGGGTGTATATACCATTGAGCGAGCCCCTCGGAAGCCTGATAACAAAAGCGCGCACTGGCGCAGCCGTGCAGATCGATGTCACTTTGGGGTGTCAATGTGTGTCAGGGCGAGCGATCAGGGGTGCAGATACGTGAACTCCAGAAATACCACATCAGGGCCCCCGTGTTAATGTGCGGGACACTATGAACCAATGGCAGGGTGGACGGCAAGTGGGAATAGATAGGAAACGGGGTCCAATTTACTTCTGGTTCCTGGACCATGGTTACATGGCTTGAAAATTGCTTTATAACCGGCACAAGAATCTTCTTTTGCTCGTCGCTCGACGTTGGGGCTGACTGAAGCTTCCCAAAAGGTCGAGAAAGGGACCTTGGTCACCCGCTTCTGACACTTGCATATCCCCATCACCGATTGCGGCGCATTTCTTGCGTCAATGTCAGCGATGTGATGTGTTTTTCAGGCCACCGTAGGATTCGGCATTGGCCAGTCAGCCTCATATCCCGACATATGCCCAGCCGCCGACCAGGTCGCAAATTCTACGGATATGCTGTGCCATCGTTATGCCAGCAGGGTCGAAAAATGTGGCATATGGGGACGACTGGCACGGACGTTGACCTTGATATGCGCACATGCGGCTGTCACACGGCGCACAAGGCGAGGGGGATTCAATCTTGGCTTTTGTCAAGCCATCGCCTCGAGTACATGCAGTATTGCATAGACGGACATCCCATGTTCTAGAGCTAGCTAGCGGCTCGATGTAGGCTGGGGGGAGACAGAAGGCCTCCTGTTCGGGAAGCCCCGCAAACTGTCAGGAACAGGAAGACAATCCGTCATTGCGACATCCTAATAATAAGTCTCGGCCGAAGCGTTCATCCTCAGGGGAACGAAAATTTTCATCGGAGCTAGAGCCCGAAGGGCCACCTGCTAACTCACCTACACATGGCTGTTGTCTACACAAAAGGGGCATTGTGCCGCTCTCGGCTCTCCTCAAGCTTCAACAAGAAACTGAGGTGTTGACTTGGCATGTGGCTGTGAGCAAGAGGCGCGATCCGCGCTCAAAAGCGGATGAAACCTGAAGACAACGCGGAAGAAATGAGGAGTTGCTTCATGTTGCTCGGAGATGAGCATAAGTGTGTATACCAGTGTGGCTTGAAAACAATCTTTGCTCCAGCTCGAGGTCCCTTCTTCTCCATTCCAGGAGCATCTTGTATGTCGTTTTCATAATAGCGGAGAAGGCCATTGGGCCGTCTCTGAGGAGTTGTTGGTTGGGATTACGTGTGAATATCCTGCTTCGGTCACCGAGGTCCCATCCGCGCAGATGTACTGTCCATGTTCAGGCATGCCAGACGGTGCCCTGTCTTTGTGATGCTATGGAAGAGCCTATGAAAGAGCCATCGTTCAGGAGCTTCGGATATGTAGTTTCTCAGTTGTCGTTATTAAAATGGGGCCGTGGAGCTCAGTTACGGAAGTTCCGTTCCGTTTCGGCACGAGCACGCTGAAGGATTTGCGGGGACAAAATCTGCGTGCCGTTAAAGAACGCTGAAGAACGCCCCAACATGCGATCTGGGTTTCCGGGTTTTCTTGTGTAACCAACCACATTGTGAGAACATGAAAACGAATTCCTGAACTGAAATTCAGTAAGCAAGCGCCTATTTTCACGACCATCACGAAGACTCGACCAGAGACAGCGAGAGCCTGACGATTCTCTCGAGATCCTTCGCTCCACAGCAGCGAGTCAATGCCCCTGTAACCCCCCGGTTACCCACGGTTCTCGATCACTCTCCCCCGGGGAAGGGATCCGGACGTGATGGAAGCCCGTGCTCGTCTCCAAGCTCCACGAAACCCCTCTTGAACAACATTACGAGAGCAATTCATCTTCAGCTTCAGTCTCTGGCAGTTGGGGTCTTTCTTGGTCGTTCTGGAGCCCAACATGGTCACATTTCCTCATAAAGCACGAGGCCGCAAAGAATCTTAAGCCCAGGCCCGTCTAGGCCGGGAAAGTCTCCGCAGAGGCCCTGTCCTAGAGTGGACATGACTAGGGACTCGACATTGGCCCATCTGTCGACAAATCATTGTCCATCGCTCAACTTCGACCGTTGCAGTGTCGCAGCAGGCTGTACCAACACAATATGGATTGAGCTTTCAGGAAGGATGAGGTACCCTACCTAATTCTCTCATGGTTCCACAGCTTCAGGGCAGCCCTCGGTGCTCCGTCCCGATGTCTTTCTGCGCTTCTTTCTCTTCCGAGCTGAATCCAATTGCAGCCTTGAAGGCTCTGCTCATTTTTGCTCCGTGCTCGCCTCTCGATTGAGGAGGATCTGGAACGTTGGTACCGACAAGAAGCAGAAATACACGTCACCTTGACCCGTCAATCACAATGGAGACTCTCGACTTCGCGGTCATTGGAGCCGGTAGGTCAACCAAATTCATTTGCCAATGCTTGCGATCTGACCTAAAAAGGTTGGTACGGTCTGGCTGCGGCCAAGACTCACCATCAGCTTCACCCGCAAAACACGCTGGCCGTCTTTGACCAGTCTTTGACTGTCGGCGGCGTGTGGGCTGAGCACCGTCTCTACCCGGGTCTGAAGAGCAACAACATGCTCGGAACCTATGAGTACCCCGACTTCCCCATGGACCCGGAGACCTTCGGCGTTCTTCCGGGGCAGCACATCCCCGGAAAGGTCCTGCATGATTACCTCACCAAGTACGCGCAGAACTTCGGCATATTTGATAAGATCCGGTTCCAGCACAAGATCCTTTCAGCTGAGCACCAGGATACCGGCGGCTGGGTCTTGACAATCCTGAATGGGGAGGAGGGCAAGGAGTTCCAGGTCTTCGCAAAGAAACTCGTCGTCGCCACTGGCTTGACCTCACAAGCCTTTCTGCCCGACTTCGAGGGTCAAGAAACCTTTGGCGTACCAATCTTCCACGGCAAAGACTTCCTCCAGCATGCGGATACTCTCAAGACATCCAAGCGCGTCACAGTCTTTGGCGGTACCAAGTCAGCCTGGGATGCCGTTTACGCATACGCTAGCAAGGACATCGCCGTAAATTGGGTGATCAGAGGTAGTCTCTGCCCTTCTTGCTTACTTTGGATCCCATGACTGATGACTTATAGAATCTGGACACGGCCCCGTATGGATGGCGCCGCCCTATGTGACCCCTCTTAAGAAGTGGCTTGAGAAGCTTGTCCACACCCGCGCGTTGACCTGGTTCAGCCCCTGCGCCTGGGGTGAGGCTGACGGCTATGACAAGACGCGATACTTCTATCATAGCACTGCCATTGGCCGAGGTATCGTCAACAACTTCTGGAACGTCCTCGGCAACGACGTGATCACCCTTAACAAATACGACTCTCACCCAGAGTTGAAGAAGCTGAAACCCTGGTGTGAAGCCAAGCACGTCGCTTCAAGTCTGTCAATTCTCAACTATGAGACTGACTTCTTCGATCTCATCCGCGATGGCAAGGTCCAGATTCATATTGCCGACATCATCAAGCTGTCTCCGAGAGGCGTTCATCTGTCTAATGGTTTGGAGCTGGAGTCGGACGCACTCTGCTGCGCGACCGGCTGGAAGCAGTTCCAGCCCATCAAGTTCCTCCCAGCGGGCATTGAGAAGGACCTCGGAATCCCGCACGCCCCTACTCCCGACAGCTTCCCATCAGCTGAGATGCTACAAAAGGTCGACAAGGAGATTTTCAGCACATGGCCCGCTCTTCAGGACCAGCCGACCGGAAACAAGAAACTGAAGCCGCTGGTCGAAAATGGAGGCGTGTCAACCAAGGAGGCGGTCAACCCCTTCACGCGACTGACGCCATACGCTCTCTACCGCTTCGTGGCACCTCCTTCGAAGAAGTTTCTCCAGCATCGCGACATCGCATTTGCCGGTGTCCTGATGCACATCACTGCCGCCATCATCGCCAACACGCAAGCGCTCTGGATCGATGCCTTCTTCCACGACAAGCTCCCTGTCGTGCGCGAGGCCATCTCCGACCCTAAGGCAATGGAGAAGCTGCAGTATGAGACTGCGCTACACAACCGCTTCTGCAAGTGGAGGTATCCCGCCGGCCACGGCGACACGTTCCCAGACTTCGTCTTCGATGCGATACCTTATGTCGACAGACTCGTTACGGACTTGGAGCTGAATAAGTACAGAAAGAACGGCATGATAGCCGAAGCTTCAGAACCATATGGCCCGGAGGACTATAAGACTCTGGCTGCGGAGTGGGCGGAGAAGTCAGCTGCTTAAACTGAGAAAATAGAACGGAGCTCTAGAGAAGGCTCGAACATACCTGGAGACCTCGTATTAAGGGGTACGTTGAGGAAGTTTCGAGCCCACCCACCCAGTAGGGTGTTTCTCAGTAGGGGAAAAATAATAAGGGGTATAAATGGCATTTATACCCAAATGCTCGCTCGCCCTGAGATCAATAATGCCATTTTGATACTGTAATCGCTATTCTATGATGTCTCAACTCGTGTCCAAGGGGATGACCTAGTATGTGTTACCCAACTGCGTGTCTGCCCAGTCGTTCTCAAACCTCTGCCATCCACCATATTCCGGCTCGCTTCCCATGTACAGCTGGTGAACGACCATATCATAGTATCCATCTCTGGGTGTCTTTCCACCGCACACATTGCCTCCCATCGCCACATTCAACAAGATGGTCATGTCCCTCATAGGTCGCGTCCCTGGAGGGATATCCCCCTTCATCACCGGTCTTCCATCAATGTACCAAATCATCCTGCCCTGCCCAGGCTGCCCACCAGGCTGCACCCAAGCCAAGTCGTACCTCACGGGTCGGTACTGCATATCCGGGATCTTGGTTCCAAGAACACGGTGCTTATCCGGCTCGTGGTGCTGTCCCCAGTGAAGGCACGAGTGGTTCTCGCAGTCGCCGTTCCAGGTCTCTGCGATGTCAACCTCGCCATCCGTGGGCCATGCGAACGGCTCCTGCGGAAGAAGCCAGAAAGCAGGCCAGATGCCCTTAGCACATGGTGAAAGAATGACCGCAGTCAAGACACCCTGGTCCCGCGCCAGCGTCTGTCTGCTAACAAGGCGAGCAGACGTGTACTTCTGCTCGGGGTTAGGGCAGCTGTTGTTGGCGACGGCTCGGAGCACGAGTTTTCCATCCGGAGTGCTGTCAGATAATGTCAGTCAATCGAACTTCAGCTCAGATCGGGCGGTAGAACTCACTGGAAGGCGTTCTGCTGCTCGGCGGTGTAGTGCTGCAGCTCCTGATTACCCCAACCGTCCGGTCCATTGCCAATCTTCGCATCCCAATCCTGAGTCACGGGCACATCGGGTCTAAACTGGGGCTGCCAGTAAACATGTCCAGGCTGTCCTCCCATCGGCTGCTGCTGCGGTGGCGGCGCATATTGTTGTTGCTGTTGCTGCTGCTGTTGAGGGGGCGGGGCCTGAGATTGTTGAGAGTTTTGCGATCCCGGCTCCGCAATCAGCTGCTCGACCTCATTCTTGAGGCGTTTCAGATGATCTTTCCAGCCCATGGTTTCGAATCGAAAATTGCAACCTCAGTTGTCGCGATGAAAGCGAAAAGCGACTTTGGCGGTCAGGGGAAATTTTTGTATATCAGGAGAGGGGTCCTCAATGAGGCGATGCCGGCAACCGACTTGGTGTGACGTCACCTGACCGCGTGGGTCGTGGCTGAGCTGAATCGCCAAGCAGAATGTTTGGTGTTTGTATTTTCTTATCTACGCGTAGTACACGGAGTATTGGAGCCACGTCTTTCCATACGAGATTGCTGTTGGGTGAGTCACGGTAGCCAAACTTGAGCTGGCAATTTTGAGGAAATTTGGCTTGTCAAACGGCTTGCTTGGTATTGGTTGTGCGTTTAGGATGACCGACGCAAAGGTAACGGCAACCCCGTGAACCTGACTCGCTTGACTGCAACACTGGCGGTTATGGTCCAGAAGCTAAAACTCTCACAGGTCTTCCAAGCGCGCTCGTAAGGCGGCGACTGGCAATCCTCAGCTCACACTGAGTGTGAGTATTGGCGCTTGTGATTGAGATCAATCTTCTTATCGAGCGGAATGGGCACCAATAAGCGCCAAAAACACACATATTCCTAGCTAATGACGCAGTGACAAATTCATCCGCGTGATATGCTGTCTTGACAGCTTTGTCCATTAATCAACATCGTGAGGTGGCTCTCGCAGTGAGTGGGTCAACATTGTGAGCAGCGACATCGCCAAGCCCAAGACGTCGTGAGCAGGAATTGGCTTGTTCAAGTTGGAGGAGCTCCATGTAAGCATATGAATATCTCATGAATGAAAGACAGGCACGAGAATGTGTCGTGTTCATACATGATATGCGGATATAGTGGTGTTAATTCTTCACGACTTCATTCAATCAAGAAATAAGTCGCCAACCTTAAGTCCGTGCGCCATCGCCTCGGTCTCCAAGCAAATGAAAACGCGGGTTTCCTGGAACCATATCATGGCGATAACTCTTGGCTGTTGTCTGGCGTTCAACACGGAATTTTGCTATATGGGTTGAGAAACAAACGACATAAGCGACGGTTCAGACGACGACAGAGGCGATAATAAGATTAATGGTAAGGATCTGTTGGAATATAGGTACACGATTGTGCATTTACAAAGAAGTCGTGATAATGTAGTAGCCAGGCTCCGGGACTTTAGCCCCTGTAATCACGACATTGAGGACTTTGAGGTGACACTCGGCAAAATCGAAAAGAATTGACTAATACGCTATCGCTGATGATCATTTGTAAGTATAACCACCGTCAATGACGAATTGTTGGCCAGTCGCGAAAGAGCAACGCATGCTGAAAAGATACGCTTCGGCTGTTTGCTGTACTGTGCCCACCTCCTTAACCAGTTGGTTCTGGACAAAGCCGGCTATAGCTTCGTCGGGGAGCTTCTCCAGCATGGGAGTCCGAATGGCACCAGGAGAAACGTTGTTGACCCGAATCGGAGCAAGGTCTACTGCGAGCGCCCTCGTGAGTGTCTCAACTGCACCGCACCATCCGATGCTCTTAGACAGCCCGCGGAATGGCTTGCTTCCGTGTATGCCGGAGGTCAGGGTGATGGATGAGCTGGAAGCCCCTTTGAGATAAATGGCCGGGTTGACTGTCACCAGCTTTCCCACTAGCAGTGGGCCGAGGTAGAGCACCGTCCAAGAGGCATAGGCGTTCGCAGCCGTTACGGCGGAGAGGGGCTCGAAGTCAAACGCGTCTCCCGCCGTGTAAGCTATGTGTTCAAGGGGCCAGCCCAGTTCGGCGACGGCGGTCTTGAGCACCTACTCCAGGTTGGCCTCAATCGTGTCCACCTGGGCCAGGTCGGCCGCTATTCCAAACACGTTGGCGCCCGGGTACGTTAATTGGAACTCGGTCACGGTGGCGGATATTTTGGATGGATTCGAAGAAGAAACAAACACGTTTGCTCCGGCGGCCAATGCTGCAGACGCGACGCCCTTGCCTATGCCCGCTGATCCTCCAATGATAAGTACTCGGGCGCCCTTGATGGCGTCAACATGACACTGACCGCCGCTATTGTTGCCCTGAGACATGATGTGAAATGAGATAGTGTTGGTTCAGACGCAGGTTTCTGGTGCGGTGGAGATGATGGGAGACGAGGCATGAATGATGTGCTTACCGCTGTGATGCTGTAATATGGTGAATTGAGATCAGCTGCTACTTTATGCATTTCATTCGGAAATATCACCGCTATCATGAGTCACGCCGGGGAAGAGATGCGTCCGGGAACGGGGTTAGTGAGCTGTTGTTCGGATCACTTTGCAGACTGTTCAAGAAGACATGTGTCTTAACTCCGGTCACTAGGCTTTAAGGACTTGCTAACATCAGAGCCAATGAAGATGCAATTTCTGCGGCGCATACATGCGGACTGATCGATCGCTGGTGTTTTTATCCAGTATTTGTACTTGAGCGGCTTCTATTTACTATTGTAATCATCGATGCAGTTTGCTATTTACATCGATCGCTTGGCAGACATCGAAGTCATGGCTTGAAGCCTAGCTGACAAACGTAGTCGACATGAGAAACATGAGAAAAGCCAAACCGAATGATCTGCCCATTTTCTGAAGGTACTTCGACGAGTACTAACCCCCTACAATCTTACACACAGTACGCGTCAAAATGAGATACGGGGTTCTGTGTGGTAGTCGTTCCGTTGACCGTGACCTGCTTCCCATCCTGCTGGAGACCGCCACCAGGGATGTACACCCTGTCACCAACCGCAGCGGCCTGGGTTCCGTGGCGAGGAGTCTTTATAGGCTGCAGTTCTGCCCACTGCTGCGTCTCGACGTCGTAGACCTCGGTCTGGTTGAAGACGCCAGTGACAGAATCCACATTGCCCTCGCCACCAAAAGCGTAGAACTTGCCGCCCACCGCACCCCCATTCAGACCCCCACGGGCTGTCGGCATGTGTCCGAGACTCGTCTGCCAGCCGGAAGTCATGTTGCTCAAATCAAGGGAGAAGACGGTATCTCGGTGATTCAGCTGACCATAGCGTCTTCCGCCGACGACGTAGAACGTATCACCGATCACCGCGCCGGAGGAGTGCTGGCGGCTTTCTGGTAACTCGGCCGCGGCCATTGGGAGTCTTTGCCAGCTGTTGGAGGTGGTGTTGAAAGCGATCACACTGTTGACGGCGTCTTGGTAGCCTGTCATGAGCACAGTCATGCCTCCGGCGAGAATGATCAGGTCATCGTAAACCCCGACAACAGAGCTCCCCTTCTCGGTGCCGTTGGGCATCGGAGGAAGCTCACTCCAGACGTCGGTGGCAACATCGTAGACATAAGAAGACTTTGAAGCCACCCAGTTCATCGTCAAGCCAGGGGTGGTGGGTCCCACGACCAGCCCACCGAGAAGATAAACCTTGTCATCTACGGCTGCGATGTTGGGGTGGTTGACTTTGTAAGGTGCAGGCGATGCAGTTCGCCAGGTGTCGGAGGCGATGTCGTAGAGCTGGAAGAGGTCGGTTGTTTCGGTGCCGTTACTCGTAGGAACGATTCCGCCGAGAATGGCAATGGATGCGTTGCCGATAGCGGTCGTTCCGTGTTCCTGACGAGCCGACGGGGTGGAGGCTAGATTCACCCACTGTCCAGACTCGCATAATGGTTTAGCCGCGGCGACACTGGCCATGAAAACGACGACATTCTCAAGAACTCGGCGATACATGTTGGTGGTTGCAACTTGCAAGTAGAGAAAATTTAAAGAGTGTTGGTGAAAAGGAGCGTGATTGTATTCTCAAAACTGGCACTGCTGTCTCATTGAAAAAGAAGAGCTCAATATCAAGATTTGTTCCTCGTTTTTATACCACGAATATTTCCTTCCTACGGCCCAGAGATCTGCAGAGCACTCACGAACATGAGTCCATCTGCTCAATGCAACGGATAACGTTCAATGTCCCATTGATTTCATCATGACCCATCGCCTATAGTCGAGCTGCAAGTTTCAAGCTTTCGTTAGCCAGGACATTGACTGGGGAATGAAGTGTCGATCCTCTCTCTGCTTTGGCGGCGACTCCGCCTACCATGTCGCTACACAGCAATCCAACAGCGGTTCATCCATCTAGCATCTTGAAGGATCTATGAGTGATTAGATTATTTACCTGCCTAAAGTGTAAGCGGCGCCGCCTTATGGCGAGGCAAGCTCCTCTCTACTCGAAACCAATTAATCACGATACTGGCCTAATACGATGAAGATTATAGCGTGCCACCCGTGACGCGTCATGTCTCCTGACCGTGCGTGAACAAAGATACCATCCCCTGGCCCTTCAAGCCTCGGTACTGGTAGCCAGATGGGTCCATTCGGCTGCTACCGTCCCTTTTTGTGCTCGTCACTGGATCTTTACGGAGCTATCCTTCGGATGGCAGCGGAGAGCGTGTGGGTAGAATAAACATAAGCATTGACACATGGCATTGGGAATGGGGTCCTGTGGGTATTCTTTCAGGTGTGTCGTCCATGAGCGTTGGGACGGCCGCCACAAACATATCACAGTGGGCTCAAACGGAGCTGCCTTCCCGAATGAATCAGCGAAGTAGAGACTAGGACTTTCGCATTATACACAGAAGATTCGACACTGCGTACCTTGGTGTGAAAGGCGATTTGAGCACAAACGATTCCCAGTCTCTGTCATGCCTGGGGCAGCTACAGTATTTAAGACTGTGTGTTTAATGCAGACGAACGGCATTTTATGAAGCCGTATTTTGGCGTACCTAGGTAATGCTCGGAAGCTAAAAGAGGACCTTCCAACAGGCCTACAGGGGCACCGGAGATCATGGCTTTCGGCAGAGAATGGCTCGGATCCGACAGAAATGGGTAGTTACCAGACCCGCGTGGAGGCCGACCCCATCACGGCTAACGGTGACTGTAACGAAAAAGCTTAGCTCCAATAAGAGTTTTTTCCAACTCCGCCGACGGTACGCGGTACGCGGCTAGAGACTGTACGGGATTACAAGGATCTCTACAGGATACGCTAAAATTAGTCAACCTTAGTCAGTTGTCGACCGAGGCTTGAGCTGTTTAATGTTATCAGATCGAAACCTGGACCCGCATCGGTCTCCACGCCGCTCATATCCATGCTGCTGGCGGAATGAAGGCGGCGGGGTGGGGCCGCAGTGACGGACTTCTCCTTATCCTGTATCACCAAGATGACTGTCTAGACTAGGGATGCGTCTCGGTGATATCGGTCGGGATGGCTTTTTTGTAGCTCCTTGAAGCTTTGAGTCGGACGAAGAGAGTCTGATGTGGAGGGAAAGCGAGAGGGAACGGAGAAAATTAGACAAAAATATTCAGCCGTGAGTGTGACTGGTAAGGGAGGCAAGCATATAAAATGCTGAAAGAAAGCCTCAGACATTGAATTGTCGTACCACCCTCACGCCACTCTTCTCTCTTGGAATCGTTGTCATTCGTTACAAAAATCATGGCTCCTCCCTCTACTACGTTTCTGCTGCTCAGCTCTCTGGCTGCTTTGGCCACGGCGGCTTCGTTGCCTGCCTCCAATTCAAGCCTTACCAGAGGTGCTGTGAAGGAATTTCCAGAGTGTACCACTCTGCATGAGAGAAAGTCTTGGTATATTACTAGGCTCTTCAGATTGGCAAACCCCCAGCTAACACAGATGTTAGGACCGCCATGACCGATGTCGAGAAAAAGGCTTACATCGACGCTGAGCTTTGCCTCCAGAGCAAAGCCCCGAAGCTGGGCGTGGAGGGCTCTCAGAATCTTTGGGATGATCTGATGTACGCCCACATCTATCAAGCCAACGTCATCCACAACGACGGCCCCTTTTTGCCCTGGCACAGACTTTACAGTACGTAATTACATATTTTGTGAAGAATTTTTGACTAACGCCACTGCAGTGCGTGTTCACGAGGTCTACCTTCAGACTGAGTGTGGTTATGAGGGAGGCCAACCGTACTGGAACGAGCTCGAGGACGCCGAAGCTGGTTTCTTGAACCAGTCTACCGTCTTCGATGCGGAAACTGGATTTGGAAGCTTCAAGAATGGCGAAAATGGCTGCGTTGCCGACGGACCTTTCGTCAACCTGACGATGCACCTGAACCAGACGAGCAACAACGCCAACTTCTGCCTCACCCGCGACTTGGACCAGGACAGCTTCTACCAGGCCAACAGCACCTACGTCAACGAGTGCATGGCGATCGACACCTACGTCGACTCTTGGAACTGCTGGGGCACCGCCCCTCATCTTGCCGGCCACATGGGCGTCGGCGGCACGGTAAGTCCCACTCGACTACGCTCTGCTCATCCCACCGACAGAAACTGACTTTCTGGATTGTAGATGCTGGACGTTGTTTCCAGCCCTGGTGACCCGCTCTTCTTCCTCCACCACACGAACCTCGACCGTCTCTGGTGGGAGTGGCAGTCCGTCAACTTGACTGCGCGTCTCAACGAGATTGGCGGACCTGTCGTCGCTTCTGATGCATTCCTGGAGATGTCCAACCTTGAATATCCCGGTGCTGACCTCCTTGATTACAACGGCGAGAACGGCGGCAACGTGACCACCATGGCGCACAACCTTTGGACCGCGGGCCTGCTGCCCAACATCACCATTGCGGATCTCATGGATGTCCGTGGTCCCATCAGCTGCGCCATCTATGTTTAGATGCAGCAGTGAGTGCTTCTGAATCAATCACTTGATCGTTCGGTTTGACTTGGACGAGAATTGACAATAGTACGAGGCCGAATTTTATGGGAACAAGTGCCGAGAATCTACCATTTTCGCTGTAGTTGTCGTGATCTTGGTAATTTTGGATTCTTGGGGTCATTCGATTTCCATGTACATAGTTCAACACTGTAACAAATTCAACTTTACTTTTGGTGAGGAAAGTTCTGTATTCATTGAAGCTAGTGTGATCCATGTTGTTCTTTTGGCAGAACCCAGGCTGCATGATGAGTGGCCCTGATGTTGAAAATTAGGCAGCAGTGGCACGCTACCGTTTCAACCAGCGGCATCCATCCACCTCCTACTTCTTATCAAGACCCGAGATTCCATCTCAATACATCTGAGGTAAAATTTTACTGTTTTTATTTTTGAGCTTTTTCACATATCAACATGGAGCAATCTGCTGCGCGGCCTGGGGTGACTTCTCCGCGTCGAACGAGACAGAGGGCCAAGTTGGCAGCAGCGGCAGCATCCTCAAGCAACGCGGGGAACGAGACGAGACTTTCTATCTCAGCAACAGAAGAAAATTCAAAGTCAGGAAGCTCTGTTATTCGTACGCTTCCCGGAAACCTCGGCAGCGGCCTCAAACCCAAAGATCCCTCAAAACAAGACCTCCGACTTCTTCTGAAAAAGCGCCGGCTGCTGCTAGAAAATCAGATCGTGATTCCGGAAGACATGCAGATGAAGGGGTTGTCGTCTTCAGTGACTGCAACTCTCGTTTTCGCTCAAGAGGAAGCCGGTACCGCAGTCTGCATCTCCCCGGACGGCGTCCTCCTCACGTGCTCTCACTGCATAGCCGAAACCGCCGACGACTTTGATGCGACGCAGAGCCACTGGCTCCTCTTTGCCTCTGGCCGCGTAGTGGAAGCAAAGCCTCTGGCATGGAATGCCAAACGCGATTTGGCTCTCTTGAAAATCGTAGCGGCCCAGGAACCCCCATCAATCTCATCCGCATCTCCGGCTGCCAGTCAATTTCCCTTCATCACAACGGCCGTCTCCACTCCACCTCTGAAGTCCCGGCTCATATGCGTGGGACACCCAGGAATTGAAGATTTTGAAGCTTCAGAGCCGGGCGTCAAGACGGGATATGACGTCCTCCACCTCAGCACCGGGACTTTTAGGGGCTGCGCCGAGGGTCAGGATGTGCAGGATAATTCAGAGATTGGGGCGTTGATGCATACTTGCTGGACCTATTGGGGACATTCAGGGGCTCCTCTCATCGACAGAAAGTCTGGGAAGTTGATTGGTCTGCATTCCTCGTGGGACGATGAGACGGGCATGCGGAGGGGCGTTGCGTTGGAAGCTATTCAGGGGTTCTTGGCAGCGAACCAAAATCTGGCCGAAAGTCTCCAAAGAGATTGATTTCTCAAGGAATCACTATTTAGTCCCGAATTCAATCTCAACTCAGATCAAAACCTGGCGGCGACCCACTTCTTCCATCTGTTGTCTTTCAGAGGAAAGAGCGCAGGTGAGAGGGAAGCGACGTTCCTGCCTCAGATGAACGACTTCAACATCCCACCCACCCCTCCTGCCTGTTGTCAACAGTCTGCCCTCGCACCTTTTCTCTAGCCCAAAGATCGAGAGGAAAACTTCTTCCCGTTTTCAAAACTCCTTGCCCTCTCCACCACAACCCATATCCAACTCAACAACCAGGACAAGGGCCTCCATCTATAACAACACCAACTCGCGCCGAAGCTTCAAATACCTTCGTTATTCCAAAATCGTTCGTAACTATTTTTCTCACAGCAAGACAACACAGCCATTGTTCTTTGCCCAGTCTGAAGGAGATCCAGTGTGAATTGCTGTTTGAAAACCCAGCGCGCGCCTCTCACAACACCCACTCTCAAAGACCGACGCGTAAGTCATCAAAGCCGTCCTGGCAAACACAATGGGAGCGCGTTACTGACAGACATAGCTGCGCACTCATACTCATCCTCGTCCGGGTCTCAACCATCTGCCTACCCGGCCAACCGCTACGATGGCTCCCATCCCTCTCCCCACCTCCCATGTGGCTCCTCTCTCTGTCGAACCCTCCCACAAGTCAACCCCTCTCCTCGAAGCCTGGGTCCTATCCGACTCTAGCGCAATCGCAAGCATCGGCAAGGGCTTCCTCATCGGATCCCTCATCGGCTTCATCATAGCCTGTGCTCTCTGCTTCTGGTATCCCTGCATTCACTTCTACTACGCCCTACCCGGCGAAGACTACCACAGCTTCCACATGCCCGACTATCGCAACTTCCGCCTGCGCCTCCGGCCTCGCGGTGGCTTCCGCGACTTCGCCCGCCGCAGGCTGCGTCTCTTCTTCCTGGGCCGCGAGGAGCGGACCATCGGCTCGCGCACCGACGACGAGGAAATTGTTGACCTCGAAGCCGGTAACAATATCCCCCTTCAGCAGGGCGTGAACCAAGGCCTGCGCTCCGAGTCTACCGCCCAGCAGAACGACCGACCGGTGTTCCAGGGATTGTTCATGTTCAACCACCCGACCATCCCCGAGCCCATCTCTCCCCAGACCAGCGCCACTCCAGAGATCACCATCACCCCTCCTCCTCCCGTCGTTGCCGCCCGCCCCCGCGACATCGCCTATGAGAACGCCCAGAACGCCCGCGTGCGCCAGCAGACCATCGACAGCATCACCTGCCCCCGCGAGCGCGCCCTCCAGCAGGAGTTCGAGAGCAACCTCCGCGAGATCGAGCGCCGCACCGAACAGTCCCCGGCCACGATGCCGCCCATCGGCCCCAACGGCCACTTCACGCCTCGCCATAGCATGGACGCCATCCATCCTCAGCAGAGCGAGGAGACCAGCGGCGGCGCCCCCTTCTGGGGTTGGCTCCGCTTCCCCCGCGTCCGCTCTGAGTGAACCCTGCCCGGAAGAGGCCACAAGAACGACGGCGAGTGAGAATGCATGCGATCATATGATTTACGAGATCAACGACGAGACGACGCCCCACCTCAAGGGTACGATACCGACGGCAAGAAAGCACAGGATGAAAATCGGGGATGGAAAGGATTGGATGGAGACTTGGGTTCCGGATGGCGGGGATATGGGACCAACATTGCGTGTAGGAATAGAGGAAACCCCACATCCAGACGAAGGAGACGGCGCATTTTGTTCTTGGGACAAGACGAGAGATGGATACAAAGGCCACGGATCTGGGATTGCCGCGCAAAAAGCTGCAGGAATCAAGCAGTATCATGTCAGATAAAAACTCGATACTCGAGAAAGTTTGCTTTTCCTAGGACACTCACCTGCTTCGTCGAGGTGCCCAAACTTCTCTATCTCCGCACATTACATTATCGGCAGGAGCCAAGAACAGTAAAAAGGGGGACATGTACTTTCCAAAAACAGAAAGAAATCTGTTTAAAACCTAATAAACCGTCCAACTCGAGCAAGCACCCCGGGAAAAACTCCGCGTGCTTCGTTTGACAATCGAGTGCTGAAAAGGGTATCTAAATCCATACATCTTGCCGCCAATCTCATAAGGTAAGGAACGAAAACTCGTACCAAAACAAAACCAAAAAAACCCTTCGTGACGAAGACTTGCGTCTGAGACGGCAAACTACTTAGAGCTGAGCAATAAAAATAATAAGAAAGCCAATACTGATGTCCGTATCCCATACTCAATCATCACCCCAAGTTTTCCAAACGAGAAGTTGCTGTTTTCCGACGAAGACGCGTCGTGCCCTTTTGCCAAAGTGCAATTTTTGAACCCCGCTTTTGCTTTTTTGTCTTCCGTTGCCCAATTTTGTGTAGTGTATATCGTCATCCCTCCTTGGGGGGGGGGGGGGGGGGGGGGTCATCAATACTTTTGTAGCCCTGTCTGGGTTCAGGGGTATGACGGCGCGCCGTTCGTGCCGTCCATGACGTTGAAGTTATCCATGGCCATGTACTCAAGGAGGTCGAGGCCTCCGACGTTGACGCCCTCGGCCGTCATGGCCACGGCGGTGTTGTCCATGTTCTGGAAAAAGGCAGGGCCCGTGGGCAGGTACCACATCTCGTTGCTGGGGTTGCTCCAGTCTGTCGAGTCGAAGAGGTTGTCCATGCCGGTCGTGGAGCCTGCTGTGTTGTTGGTGTTGTTCGTATTCGTGTTGTTGCTGGTGTTTTCGGGGTGAGGCGCCGGTGTGGAGGGACCCAGAACAGAGGCGGCGCCAGACGGGTAGGGAAAGTTGCCTGTGGTGAGGTCGAAGGGTGTTGCGGATATGGCATTCGGGTCTTCTGCTTGTCTATTAGTCAATGAAGTCAACTGGGAAGCGTGCCAATTCTTACCGTGCGGGTTGAGTCCATTCCGTAGTTTCGTTGCGTGGTTGGACCAAGTCTGGCCATTGACACCGTTAGCCACCTGCCCATCCGCAGCGCCGGTACCATCAGTGATGCCATGGGGATCCGGGCTTCTTCCATCCGCGGATGCATGACCTAGAGTAGGCGCCTGGATGAACCGGTTGCGAAGACGACGGGTTAAAGACTCGAGCAAGTCGGCAAAGCGAATGCCTAAATGGACATCGTCGACGACGCAGTTCCGGAGAGCTTCGACGGTCTGGTCCATCAAATCAATACTCATCTTGACATCCGACCGCGGCGCACCGAGGGCAAAGGTCTTGAGCAAGAACATGGCGCCGCTGATGATGCGGAAGTACGTCCGCACGGGAGCGTGCTTGAGGTACTCTCCTGGGAGAAGCCCCTCCACCACGGTTCTGAGAAGGTTGCGACTACCGCTGATGACTTCTTTGATGTATTCCTGGTCAGTCGCACCAAAGCCACCCAATTGGCCCAGAGGCAGCTTTCCAAAGTAGTTCTGAGTCTGAGGCGATAGTTGCGCGGCGCTCCCTGCGTTATGATTGCCGTGCGCGCCGTGTCCGGCGTGCGCAGTATTTCCAGCATTATTGGTGCACCGCTCAACGACTGCCTGCAAAGACAGCGAGTTGACATAGATGCGTACATACTCGTACTCGATGGTTAGGATGTGTCTGATGTACGGCGGCAGCCTGTACCGCTCAAACTCCTTCCACCAATCCTGCAGGAGAGGCTGGAAATCCTTCAGAAGCTCGGTATACTTGCCGCTCTGGATGATGTCGGTCGTGTGCTTCCTTGACCTGAAGAACTTTTCATTGCCGATGTGCATGGCATTGCTGATACCGGCCCAGCAGTGGATGATCTGATCGTCAAGCTCCAGGTCCGGAATGTAGTTGAAGGCATTGGACAGGGAGGACGGGTTGGTACCGGGTGTTGTGCCTTCAGTCGATGTCGGCCGTCGACGGGTCACGGCGGGATCGCTCTTGCGGAGGACCTCTGGAACCATGCTCGTCCAGCCGAGGCGGCCGGCCAATTGAGTCAAGTAGATCAACAGCAGCCGCTTAATGCGGTTTGCGCGCTGCCTATAGGTTTCCTCCTCATATTCAGGGCGGGTGATTGCGCCGTCACGAAGCAGCTCATCAATGTCGTCAAACACTCCGAGCTCATATGCGAGACCCATCGCGGTGCTGAGAAGCATCCAGCACATTCTGTCACTCCTCCACGCAGGTTCGAGCCAGCTGTCAAGCCTCCGGCCGCCAATATTGGCCGAAGGCCGCTGGTTTCCGTTCTCATCGGTGCTGATCAAATCACTACCCTCATATGATGGGAGCATGAGCTCGTCGATGGCCTCGGCAGGAGGAAAGTGGAGCGCGCGGGGGTGCCACTCCGTCAAGATCATAAGAGATTCGACAGTTCCCAGCGTCCGTAGACTTCCCTTCCTCATTCCACGCCAAGGTGCCGTGCTGCTGGTTTGATCCTCTATGACGGATGAAGCTCCAGCCATCGCCGCCGTAAATCCACCGCCGAAAGCCTCCTGGCCCCAAAGACACCTCTCAATCATCCCTCGCAGATAGGTCCAGAGCTGTTCATGGATTGCATGAGACCGGCAATGTCCACCAGTTCCCGGGATCTTTCGATATCTCGACGAAATGGTAAGCAGGGTGATTGTGAGAATCGGCTCCTCCGTGAGAAGAGTAAGATGCGACGCAGGGTTTCGGAATGTCGGCGGCGAGATGGGTGTCAGCGGGGAAAGATATTCGTAATAGCTGCTGTGGTCAGTACCATGTCACGTCTTAGGTAACATGGGGACGTACTAGTCAATGTAATCAATGGCCTCCTGCGCAGAGAACCAGCCAGCCCTGACGAATCTAAACCTTCCCCAAGCCTTGATGGCATCTTGGTATCCAGGTTCCCCAGAGAGATCCCGCTTCGTCAGCTCGGGATCGATGATTGGTGGCTCCGGCTTGTTCGACACAGAGGGACGGCCGGCGCTCGCAGGCTTCATGGTCGCGCCCGGGGTCACAATCATGGGCTGCGGGGGCAAGGCCGGTATAGATGCGACACTCTCGTGGCGCTTGTGGTTCGTCACAGGGCTGTGAGCCGGGAGAGGGTAAGCAGCCGCGTCTTGGGACTGGCGGAGCTGGACTGACCTATCCGTGGCCGCCTTATACAGCAGGTCCAAAGCATCGTGGGGTCCGTATACACCGGGGCGCATGAGGTCCTGGGCCTCCGCGTTCTCGAGATGGGCGTTGGGCTCGTCCTCGAAGGTGCCAAACTCTGCGCGGCGCGTGCTATCGGCCTGGCTGACGGTGCTCGGGGTTACAGCGCCGCGCGAACCGGAGGGGATACCGGGGTCGGTCGGTCGACGGAGGGGTTGGTTTCGGCCGATGGAACCGCCGGGGGTCAAGGGAACTTCGCTATAGAGTCGGCGGTCGATGGCGACAGGGGGACTGTCTTCGACGTGGAGACGCTTACGGCCATTGCGGATGGTGTATTCGTCGATGTCTTCAGGTTCGTCGGCACCATCTTCCGTCTTGCGCTTTCGTCGGGTCGCGCTGAAGTAGCATTCTTTGCTCTCGCGTCGGCATCGCACGCAAGGCGGATCGTGGGGGTTGTCGACGCTTCCCAAGTCGCAACGGACCTTTCTACGGCGACACGGGATACAGGCCTGGTAAACGCGTTTGTGTTGGGGTGCAGCAGGCTGGGAGGCAGCGGTTGCTGTCGGCGCGGATGGGGCAGCAGCGGCGGCGTTTGTTGAAGGAGCAGAAGATACAGTCGGGCTCAGGCTGGATGCTGTCTGGGCTGGGTATTGGGCCATGATGGGCCGAACAGCGGTGCTGCACTCGTGGGTCGATGGCACGACTGGATTGTCTGCTTGAGGATTGACTCGGTCGGTTTGCAACGGGATTATGGAGGGGGGAATAAACACTGAAGCGGCTTGGGGTGGGAAGCCGCAAAAAAACGGCGGGCCCTGGGTTTTGTCGGCAACCTTTGGCTGGGAGGTGGGACCTCTGCGACCTCAACGTCGGCCTGTGACTGGTGCTTTGCCTTAGCTCTCAGAAAGTGGGTGCGGGGTTGGCAAGGTGGAAAATACGTACAGATGTAGGGTACTTTGCAGGCCCGGTATCCGTACTGGAAAAGAAGGTTCCTTGAAGCTCTCCTCCCAGCTAAAATAAGCTGGGCAGGTGGAATTCTCGGCGTTGATTGCTAACCTACCTGATAAGGCAGCCGGTACGTACCGTCAGGCCCTCTGCCTTACCTTAAACACCGACACCGACGGGAGACGGGGACACCACAGACTCTCGACATCGAGAGGTGGTAGGCTGCGATCCCTCGTCTGGTATTCGCGGAGACGATTTCCCAAACACGGGGCGTATGGGTACTCGTGCGCTGCACCTCACGCACTGCTGGGACAAGATCCCGCAACGAGAGCGAGGGTGATGATTGAGGTTTGTTGGACTTCAGAGGCCCCCCAAGAACCCCCAGGGATGTTTGCCCGGCTGGCTGCTGACTCCGTGGGCGACTTGTTGCTTGGGGTTTGATTCAGGGTAAGACAACACGGTATCGAAAAGATAACGGCCGTCGTCAACGAAGGCGGAATAAGTAACGTTTGCTGCGCTCTGATTGGTGGACGCCGAGGATACCCAATTCAAAGATTGGCAATAAATGGCAGGTGTAACAACAAACGGGCAGAAGACCACGGGAGAAATCAAAGGCGCAATCTACAGATTACGATGCAATTGAGATGTAGGAAGAGAGATTTGCATCACCAGACACCAACGGCTTGGCTGATAGCCCCGGGGGTCGATGATGCATTGGCCACAGCAGCTGGGGAACACACGAGACACGCAACAGCCTCTAACGTTCAATTCAATACATAATGGCTTACCGTCTAGACGACGCGTTATGTAAAAGGTTCCCCAAAGTACCCGGGCCCTTGTGTGCGGCATCGTATTCCTGCCTTCCCGATCTTGCCTGGCTGGCGCCCGTTTCCCCCGCCTCAAGGACCAACCCCAGCAGCACCGTAACACGACGCCCGGCGCCGCGCCAAAGAGGTAGGTCGGGTTCCAGACTCTAGTCCTTCTCGTCTCGGCCCCCTCGGTGTAAGGTAAGGCAAAGGTGAGGTCACCTGAATCACTTGCCATGCGCAAAGCAAAGGCAAGGTATGGTAACAAACTGCATACGAATGGAATATTGATATAGAGTAGTTAGGAAGGAATCGGAAACCACAAAAGGTATGGTAACAAAGCAAACTTGCCCAGCCATCCGCCGCCCGCCCCGCCTCAGATCGGAGAACCTGGAGTAACAAACCTGGAGAGAAATCCTGGGGATTTGGAGAAGCCCAGGGGAGCCCGGGCCAACCGGCAAACAGTACACCCAGCGTACAGATGGCATACCTCACATACAATTACGAATCACCTGCACTCCTAACAAAAATTCCGTCCTCTTGAGGCACTTGAGAAACTTAAAACCCCCAATCCCTTCAAGTTGCGCCCATCCTCCTGTTCGCTCTGGATGCTCCGGGTGCTCTGGCCGCCATCCCTGCATCGCACCAGTGCGAGCTTCTGCTGTGTTGTCAACCCGCCCAAGCTTCACCCCGCGCCGCCACCTGCGGCAGCTCGAGGTCACGTTGACCACTGGGCGCAGCTGGTCACGTTCACCGTCCAAAAGAGATCCGAGCTTTGGATGCTGCCTTTTACTTTACCTGCCAGTCCTCTTAGTGCCGACAAGTCGTTGCAGATCTGAACATGCCTAGCTCGTCCCAAATCGAACCCCCGTATCGGAGATCTGGGCAATGACACATGGGACTTGGGATATTGCCAAGATAGTGACCGACGTAGCCCCAAAGAAAGATGAATATTCTGCCCTTCATCTCTACACTCGAGCTGGTTACGGGGCGAATGAAACTCCATGCAGGTACCGGCAAGCCGTTTTATCTGCCCCGTGGTTTGCTTTCGGAACGCCAGCTTGTCTCTCGGCGCCAAAGGAGACTCTGGTGACGACACATTGACGTCCTCACTCTAGGATGTATATAATAGATCGTGGCTGACCACTAACTTCTCGAATGGCCTTGCTGATTTACTTCTTGAATATGCAATTGCATCATGTCATTATAGGGACAGCTCAGCTTTGCTGGACAAGACATGTCAGCCTCCGACAGGCCATGTCAATGTTCAACGACGAGTCAGAGTACGATGGTTGTAGTCCTTAGCTGACAATGAGACGTCAGTGCAACTAACACGGGGAGGGCTCACAGCAAGCACCAAGATCGCAGGTAAAGCCATTTGATAGCTAGATGTACAGATAACCTACAATAAGCACCCTTCCCTATTGGGCCGGCTCATTGCCTTATGCTTGCTAACCCCTGTTTCTGAACTCCTGATAACCTCTGCCTAGAGACATCTTGCAATGCCGCCCCGTGTATGAGCCATCGACACAATCGCAAGTCGCTCACTTTGAGACAGTTGAAGTAGCCAAGCTTATTATCAACTGCGTCACCGTACCTAGGCCTTCTTTGCCTTGGCGGCCGTGTCAGTCTGCTCCACCTCCGTAGGTAAAGGTGCAGGAGGAGCATCGCGGGCGATCTCCGGAGACTCAGTTTTTTCTTCAATGGGTCCGGGCTCTTCCTCGAGCGTCCCATCTAACGTCGTGGGCTTGAAGTCCCCATTGTCAATGGACGCCGGATCATGTCCGCGTCCACTGTTGCTCGCCGACACGCCAATGGCAGGCGTTCCACCATCCGCAATCTTCTTCTTCGTCTCTGAAACGATCTTCTCGGCCTCGCTGACCTTGGCCGCAGTCGTCGGAGGTCGCTCCACGCCAATGGAGCTTTCCTTGTCGTTTTGGCTCTCTAACAGCGCAGCCTTGTCCAAACGTACAATCATACAAGACAAATTATCGGTACTAAAACGATTCAACGCATGGTCGACGAGAAGCTTCGAAGCCTCAACCGGGTCCTCTATATTGCGAACGAGATCAACCGCTTCTTGGTCAGAGCAAACATCCCAAAGCTATTGGTGCGTCAGTAATGTCCAGAAAGCATGGCGTTAAGGAGGAACTTACTCCATCACATGCTATTATGATAAACTCGTCACTCTCAGGCTGAATAACGGTCTCGGTTGTGTACGGGTGCCCGGTGACAAGATCCTTCATATAGGTGTCGCCAAGGGCTCTCGTGACAGCCAGCACGCCATTGACGCGGTTGTTGAGTATCAGACCGCCAGCGTTAGCTATACGTTTACCCTCATTCTCATCACTACCCTTGTGATCGTATGACAAACGCAAGGCTTTGCCAGAGCGGCAGAGGATGATGCGCGCGTCTCCGACGTTGGCCGTGTAAAGAACGCGCTGGCGGCTAGCTGAGCTCTTCAACTTGGCGTGTGCAGCCTCCGGGCTGTTTGCAGAGGCGGCCTTATCGCCGGTGGGCTCCTCTGAGTTTGACTTGACAGCCTTGGTGGCCGCTGCGGTGGCCGGCGCAATGGCCTGAGAACCAGTCGCAGATCGATCACTTGGTACTCTGTCCTCCCAACGCAACACAGCGACAGCAGCGGTGCATCCACTGTTCTTAAGAGGGAGCTTTTCCAACTGCGCATCGACTGAAGTGAAGGTTTGGTCGAGTAGCTCTGGGATGGGGCCGTTGGGGTTCTTCCGGATGGTGTCTTCCAAGATGATGTGCAACTTCTTTCCACACCAGTCTGCCGCAAAAGTTCCTGCGTGACCATCGAAGATGGCAAAGTATCCGTTATCCGTCTCGACCATGTCCTGAGAAGCATCCTTGTCATCGGCAGCATCACTCTTTTTACTGTCGAGAACAGGAGCCGGGGTGTAGAGGAAGTTGTACAGGAAAGCGTGGGTATCCTCCATCGTCCGGCGGCACTTCTTGTTCCTATCTTCCCAGACGCCGACACGGAAGGTGGAGCGCGGTCCGGGAATAGACTCTCCGGCCGAGTTGTTGTGCTGACCCTGGGGGACGACGAGTGCGGGGTCCTGCTTGCCCAGCTTCTGCAAAGGAGTCTGCGTGCTCACATCCGAGTTGGATCGGCCAACCTGAGAGAAATTCAATGTGTTCTTGGCGTGAGCCAGCAGACCGGCAGCCTTGCTCGAGACGCCGCTAGCCCGGCGTTTCTTATCGGCGGCTCCATCGGTCTGACGTCCCGGGGGACTGCTGTTACCACTCCTCTTGTCTCCGCTAACAACCTGATCGGTAGCCTTGGGCTGAGCCTTCTCGGAGTCGGGCGAGGGCGACTTGCGATCTTCCTTGGAGTCGCTCTCCGCCTTGGGCGCTGAACTTGAGCCGCCGCCGAACATTCTAGTCAGCAGACCACTCCCCTGGTTGGAGAGGCTGCGACGCTTGCTTCCTGCCAGTTTAAAAAGCCTTAAAAGGATTCAAGGGTACCGTCCCGGGCGCGCGATCAGTTGAGTACAATAGGATGGCAGGGAGTTTGTACGTTCGTCGTCGGTGTATATTGTCGCCGGGAAAAGCGTCGTGAGGCCAGGATATCTGCGAGAGGGACAGGCGGTGTTAGCTTTAGAGTTGTGAGCAAGCAATGTTCGTCGGATTCATGGAGGGGCAAAGTGGTCCGAGGCCGACCGGGAGCTAGGAAGTAAGTCGGGTCCGAGCTAGATGCAGATGAAGCGTCGGGTAGGAGAAGCAAGGGAAGAGCAATGTAGAGGAGCTAGATCTTTAAGCAGCAAAGCGATATCGCCACACAAGCGCCGGCTGGCCGCAATAGAGTGGGATATCAAGACAGAAGATGGACGGGGTAGGGCTGCGAAAGGCTTCTTGAAGAGTGCGCGCAAAAGGACGATGCGGGATAGAGAGGCGGGAACATGCAGAATGCCAATGTCAGGAGCGTGATGTCTCTGTGTATAGATGGTGCTCCAGGGTTGATAGGTGACGTAGGCTCATTGATATTCGGAAGGGGGGGGGATCAAGATGGGAAGCACCAGTACTCACAAAAGTGACGTACCCACCGAGACGGAAGAGCGGGAGGACGTCGTTGGTAGGTGGTAGAAGAGCGAGAAAGAGACGGCTCGGGGGAGATCTGGAGGCGCAGTTTGCCAGCGGGATGGCAAAGGCTGCGATGTCGTCTGGGAGAAGAGCGGGTTGGTCAGGTTTGAAGTGAGATGAGGTGAAGGGAAGTTCGGAGACAAGGTTGTGGTGAGGCAGCAAATGCGGATGCGAATGTTGCGGCGCTGGGCTGGGCCGGACTTGGGCGGGCGCTGCGTTACGCTGTGGCTCTCCGCAGTGGGCAGCAGTGGCAGAGGAGGGGGAGGGGATGTTTGGTTGGAGGGGAAAGGGCCAGGAAGAGCGACGTGGACCGGGTAAGGTACGAATATCCGTACCTAGGTACCTTACCACCTTACGCAGGTGTGGTCGTGGACGTCCACCTGAGAAAGAGAAAGGCGGGAACCACGATTCGCAGGGTCGCTTTATTAGCGGCGCTTACCTTGACTCCGTTACGGGGAGGGGCCCTTCCAATCCCTGCGACTTAACACCTGGATTGCTGGACCGACTGCTGGGTCGTTGTCGGGGTCAAAGGTGTTTCTGCAATGCGCTGCTGAGATACCTTTACGCTCTGTCGTGGATTCGACCCAAACGAAGGGGCTTAGGCGGGCGGCATCTAAATCTCGGCCAAGAAACGTACGGGCACACGGGGGCGTTTAAACTGTCGTGGAGTGTCTGATGTCCGGTACGCGGTTTGGGACTCCCGGGACGAGGAAGGGAACCTTGGAGGGGGAATGGATGGGATGAGATGGATTAAGAGAAACCACACTAGCCCGTCCGCCCTTTCTTCTGCCCTCGCGTCTTTCCTTCTTTTTGCTTAGGTAAAACCAGTGGAAGACCACCCGTGCGTGGGCTGGACCTGCCCTGACGCCCTGACGGGTCTGGAAGGGAAGCGCGAGATGGCCGAGTGATCTCACTCTGAGACCCAATGCTGCAAACCGGCTAGTCGAGCTGGGCCTTTCCTATGCCGATCACCAGCCCCAGAGTCCCGGGCCCGATCTCTTTCTTTCTCACGATGGAGGCTACCGGCCGCTACCCAACGTTTCTTTTTGTTGTTGCCCATCATGGACCCGCCAAAGAGCTTGAGGTTGAAAAGTCGGCGAACCTAGGTATTCTACGACGAACGCATGGATGGGTTTCTCACATTGCATGAACCGTTCAAGAACACCTCAAACTCGATTTCCCCTTCTGGCACCGCCCGTCAGTCGGGATCCTGCCGTGTAAGAGACTCAAAGCACCTTCCTACGCCGAACCGGATTTCCTTGCCTGCTCCCACGAACCCGTCGCTTTCATCCATTGCTGCTAAGGCCACGATGAGGCCCCTCTTGTGAAGCTTAGATTGGGTTGCTAAGCAGCTTGGGCCTTGTCTGCCTCTGGGCTGACAGAGTGGTGTTGAGTTTTTGGTCAAAGGAAAACTAAATTAGCACGTTTACCCAACAGCCGCCCACAGCGTCGGTTACTAAGGCAAGGGACAGCTGCAGTGGAGGCTATTCCCATGACACCGCATACGCTCTTCAGCACATCGCCTTTCGCGTCGTCTGCTGGACGTCTATACTCAGCTCCCACGGCAGTGTTGGCATGACAGCTCAGCTTCGGAACCCTGGACAGGAGCGGGGAAGGTTCAGGTACGTTAGGCAGGTACCCTACCCTACCTTGCCCTGTTGTTGATATTCTTGCCATTTTTACCCTCACGGACGCCAGCAAACAACCTGCCCGAGAATTTGGGGTCCAAGTTGGGGTCCGGTTCGCTGGGTCGTTCTGGGCTGAGAGATCCGACAAAAGAAGCCAGGCCCACATTTGCGAAAGCGACAGCGTCATGCTGACTCGGGGGAATCCTGCCGACATGGCATTCTGCAAATCGTGTCTGTTGTCTGTTCATCATGTGTGCCTGGACCATCTGGCTTGGTGTCCACTTGGGATTTGTTTATTGTCGTGGCATCCAACTGCCACCGGATGCCCTTGAGGTCCCCGGCATAAACTTTCAGCGTGGATGGCTCAAGTGTCACACATCACGGAGAGGAGGCACGATGACAGAGTATCTTCGATTATGGCAGATCTACTTCAAAATAGTAGGTAGTGAGTGCGGTGGCAACGCATGTCCACCCCAGGCAGAACTGCATGGTGTGGTCTAATCCCCAAAGCAGCAGCTCGGTTTACTCGCCCCGATGGCAGGTATTCGTGGGAAACGCAGTCATCTTGGCGGGGCACCTGAATTGCTGTGGACAAATGACGCAATGTTCCGATGCAACCTGCCGAATGCCAGCGCAGAGCATGCCCACCGACACAATTTCATGGTTGCTGCATGAAAAAAGAGACGCCGCTTAATGGAAAAGAAAATAAGTGCGCCTCCCCTTATCCTAGGGACTCCGTACCGTATGTGACAAAACAAACTAGCTGCCCAGGATCCCTCATCGTCCGTCGTTGCTGTCCGCAAAATATCGTGACCGCTTCATTGATTGTTACTATGGCTACCGCCTGAGGCTGTCGAGACGGGCCTGGAGGTCGTCGTCGCCGGGATCCGCACCTCCACCTCCTCCGCCGACTGCTTGAGCAATCCTGCTCTCCGGCACCGCCGCGGTTTGCATCCCGGACGGTGTTTCGCCGAGCTGCAAGGGCCGTTGTTAGCCTACCGTAGTCCGTCCCGAAGTCGGCATCCATGCTTACCGCTGATGTCAAGTCAACCCCGATCTCTTCCAGAACTTGCTCCACAACCTCCTCGCCCTCCTCCTCGGCGCCGACGTCCATGGCATCATCAATGGCGTCGTCCATCATCTCCTGTCTTTGGTCCATAATGTCGTTCTCGCGCTCAAATTCCATGGCGATGCGCTGGAGGGCGGGGAGGTTCATCGATCGGTTCATGCTGCCCAGGGCCACGGTTGCGCCCTTCATGGCTTGCATCATCTGCTCGTTGGTGCGATAGGTCTGTCGCGAGTTTACAGTCAGTCAATCGTCCTGAGAAGCCCATCTGGGTATCGTACCTGCAGCCTAAGCGAGATCTTTTGCAGCTGGCTGCGCATTCCATAGAACTTCTCGATGTACCTGTTGATGGCATCCGTCAGCACTCTTGTCAATTGTCAAGTTGATGCGTAACCGACCTCCTTGTGCGGACAAGATCCTTCGCCTGGATCTTGCAAGCACCCATCTGTCCCTTCTGAGCGCTTTGCTTGATCTGGGTGATCAACTGCTTTTCTTGCTTCTCAAGCTTGACTCGAATCTGGTCCAGCTCGCGGATAGCCTTGTCCAGCATGCGTTGGTTCTTGCGCAGACGCTCCGCGGGCGTCATGCGCTTGCCGAACATGTACTCCAGAATCTGTTGTCGCACGATTAGCACCTGGGCCGTGGCGGGGAAGAGGCACACGACATACGTTCATGGTGGAGGTTGGGAACCGTTTCAGCCAAACGAAGAGTAACTGTGTCGAAGGTGCACCTACGCAGCCGTCCGATAGACGATGGATCGGTCGCTTGTTTCGTTTGGAGGTTGTCGTCGGGAAAGTTGATAGAGATTCAGGTTGCCTGGCAGGCACTCACGTAACGGGCAACGGAACGAGGTCAAGTCAGAGGCAGGTAAGGCAGGTACGTACAATAGCTTGGCACGGCGTAACGTAGGCGAGCCCATGTGCCAGCCTTCCAGGGATTCCAAGAAACATGGGTGATTACGCTGTGACAGGCGCCCAGCCAGTCCAAGGGCGCCACACAGGTGCCCGCGTTCTGGAGAGGCCGTTGATTAGATAAGGCTGTTTTTGTCGGCCGCGGTATTTTCCCGGGTGGCTCGACTGGACTGGACGTGACGGGACGGAACAAGAACTCGAGCCAATGGGTGGTGCGCCGCGACCAACAGGGTGGAGGAAATTTGCCGCTCCGCCCAAAATCATGCGCTGGGAATTCTTCGTCGGTGACGAGCTTCCCTAAAAACAATTCGCGGGTGGTAAAACTTCCACCGCCACTTTCCACACATACTCGATCCTTTCCACCCCTCACATATACCACGCCCTCGACCATGCTCTTACCACCCTCAACCGACCGAAAATGAGCCAAGATTATTTCTCGAAGAAGGGCAAGGCCCCTATGGACCAAGAGGTCGACAGAGACGATTCCGACAGCACGCCGCAGCATCCGTCATCCGGCAGACATCACTACATGACTGTAGGCTCTGGCTCCACTTCTGTCCACGCCGCCCAACTCCAAAACCTCCTCGACAACGATTCCGGCTATGGAGGCAGCATCGCTAATGGCGAGGCTCTGTCCGCCGCGGACCGTCATATCCCAACTGCCGCCAATGGTCACCTTTCTGAAGCTGACCGCCGTTCTCAGGCCGGTGCCATTCACCAGCTGTGGTATAACGCCCACCGGGTGACACTCGGCCGCTCGATCAATAAGGTTATCGAGCTGTTGAAGGAGCTGCAGGAGATGAACGTCTCATGGCCCGCACATTACCCCTCCGTCACCCGGGCGGAGAAGTCTTCTCGGCCGGCCATGGGCCACGCATTCTCGACTGCCGGCGACGTCCATGGATCTGCTTCCTCGGTTCCCACCTCTCCGAGGTCGCCTCCCTCAATTCGACGATCTCTGACCTCGGTCGAAAGCGCTGAATCGAGCCGGGCACAGGACACGCGGCCCGCGGAGGAACCCCGCCTCGTTACACCGCAGATCGCCCAAGATTTCTCGGTTTTGAAGCTGGATCTGAAGTTGGGGTCTCTTCACCAAGCGGAGCTCGTGCATTCTCTGGAGAAGGGCTCCATTGCCTCGCTCTTGGACGGCAAGATCAGCTCGAGCATTCGACACCTCCTCAACCTACGCGAACGAATCGAAGATACGTCAAGTAAGGTCCTGGTCACGGGAGATCTCAACGCTGGAAAGTCAACATTTTGCAACGCACTTCTGCGGAGGAAGATTTTGCCCGAGGACCAGCAGCCGTGCACAGCCATCTTTTGCGAGGTATTGGACGCTAGGGAGAACGGCGGTCTCGAGGAGGTTCATGCTGTCCATAAGGATGCGACGTACGATCGACACGACGAGAGCTCATACGACGTCTACAAATTGTCACAGTTGGAGGACATTGTCATCGAGAACGACAAGTACACTCAGTGCAAGGTCTACGTCAAGGATGCGCGGACTATTGACGAGTCGCTGCTCAACAACGGCGTGGTGGATATTGCGCTGATCGATGCTCCTGGACTGAACTCGGACACAACCAAGACAACCGCTGTTTTTGCCCGGCAGGAGGAGATTGACGTCGTCGTGTTCGTGGTTTCTGCAGCAAACCACTTCACGATGACTGCCAAGGAGTTCATCTGGGCCGCCGCCGCAGAGAAGGCGTATCTCTTCATTGTGGTGAATGGCTACGACAATATCAGAGACAAGAATAGGTGCCAGAAGATGATTCTGGACCAGGTCCACGGACTCAGCCCGAGGACGCACAAGGAGTCTTCGGAACTGGTTCACTTTGTGTCCAGTAACGCTGTGCCTACAGCTGGTCCCTCCGGGAGTGGAGGCGGGGGCGGAGGCGGTGATGACCCCGGCGACGACCCCAAGGGTAAGGGCAAGGATCTTGACAAGATCCGCGACTTTGAGAATTTGGAACAGTCGCTTCGCAGATTCGTTCTGGAGAAGCGTGCCAGGTCGAAGCTGGCACCTGCGAAGACGTACTTGCTGAACATTCTGAACGATGTCAACGTTTTGGCGAACGTCAACACGGAGGTCGCCCAGTCTGAGCTGGACCGTGTTACCAACGAACTCAGAGAGCTCGAGCCTCAGCTGGAGTCCAGCAGGAAGGCAAAGGCCCAGGTTGGCGACCAGATTGAGAAAATCACCGAGGACACATGCAAGGCCGTCTACGACTACACGAGGTTGACGCTCAACTCTGCTATTGAACATTCTGGGGACAACAACCACGGTGTTCCGTATCGGGGCCTGTTCAGCGCCTTCGACTATGCCGAAGAACTGAAGGATGCCATGATGTCCTACATCCAGGAGGCCGTCGCCCACTGCGAGGAGCACGCCAAAGCCAAGACTGTCGGCGGCGTCAATGCCATCAAGCAGCTTGGTATCATGCACCTGGGCGATGACTACCAAAACCTGGTTTTCCGCCCCGACGTCATGTTCAAGCGGAAGAGAGACTCCATGGCGCGCCAGGTCGATGTACCGACGGAGCTATTGGACTTTGTCGACTGGAACACCATCATTCAGAAGCAGGAGAAGGTCGCAGGTACCGGCATGGCCCTCACCATTGCAGGAGCGTTGGTTCCTCGCATGATTGGCGGCAACGGATGGTTGGACCACGCCTTGAGTGCGGCGAAGATCCTCGGCAACGACAACTTGCGAAAGCTCATCATCCCGGGCATCATCGCAGCTGGTAAGTTGACACGATATTTGAACACCCACAGACGGACAGCTAACAAGTCTAATAGCCTTCGCCGCCGCGTACTACATCCTCAACCAAATTCCCAACTCCCTGCCCCATCGTCTTGCGACCAAGATCGCTGCTCAGCTGGAGGCCGTGGACTACGTCCACAGCAACTCCAACCGTATTTCGTCCTCGGTCCGCAAGGTCTTGCGCTACCCCGCCGACAACCTCCGCGTCGGTCTCGAGCAGTCCGTCAAGGATCTCGGGCAGCGCCGCGAGGAGACTCTGAAGGTGCGACAGGAGAGCGAGGTTGCGCTCAAGTACTTTGGCAACCTCTACCGCAACAGCGGGCAGCAGAGAGCAGTGGTGCAGGGCGTCGACCTCGACGCTCCTCCCCCGGGCGCTGCTGCGGCTGGCCTTCACTGAAAACGATTCGTTGAAATCTCTCAACTCATCCCTTGATTGTGGCTCGATACCTAACGACAGCATGGAACGGCGTTCATATTTTCGGTGGTTGATGAACTGGGGCTCTCCTCGATCGAACCCCCCCTACCCAGGGGGTTCTTGTACGCACCTATACCTGACTTATTCCCCCTTTTGTGTTTTGATGAAATCGGTGTGTTGGAGAGTGGATGGAGCTGATGGGCAAAAGATATATCACATACGTAGAGGCCTGAGAAAAGAAAAAAAATCCGACCCTAATCCGCTCAATCATCATGTTGAAAACCTGAGTTTATATCACCTGTTTGACGCTTGTATTGAGCCTCACCACCAACATCATACATTCGTGTCCAGGCCCACCTCCCTTTCGGCCGCGAAGCCGAACGTGGTTCACAGGAAACGTCCAAAGCACAGGACGACAGTTCCGAGAGCGAGGTTGCGAACAGCGCCCAGCCAGGCCCGAGCTCAAGGACGCAATCTCGGAGAGAGCCCAGGGCTTACGTATCCCGTTAGCTACCGAGAGCCGGACTGGACGGACCCCATCGACCGGAGGAGGGAAGCTCACATTAGCGCGGGTCCGGGCCCCTCCCCGCCCCCTATCTGTCTTGCCTCTCGCTTCGGTCTCTCTCTCTCGTTCTCCTACTCACGTCTCTGCGAATCTTTCCTAGCTCGGCGTGCGACGTCCTCAGATTCGCAGCCCAATCTTTCGAAACATTTGAAGGCGGTTTCCACCGTCAGTGTGGGTGTCACATCTAGTGATACTGGGAGTGTTCTAGATAATCCCGCTTTCCCGGTGTGGGTTCCTGTCGATTTTGATTGATTTGATGGGGCACGCCGGCGCCCCGCCCGTTGAAGAATTTAGATGAACCTCTTTCTCTTTTGTCTTCCATCTATTTGCCGCATGCCTGCTCGTAGGGTTTTTCGGGGGAGTTTCTCATTATGCAAGTAATATGCTGCGGATAAGCCGCGCTAGGTTTTATGATGGGACCTTGTGGTGGTGACATGTTGTGTTCCTTGTTTCCTGTGTGTGTTGCTTGTTTCTACCGTCTGGAGATGTTGGTGGCGGCAAGCTTCCTGGACTTCTTGGACATGAAGGTCCGCTTGGACCTCCTTCTTCCTCTCTTCGTTCTTTGCGTGAACAGAAGGAATCTGAATAACTCTTTTTTGGAGGTTGAGCTTCCTGATATGCGGCTACTGCAAGCTGCACGAAGGGAACAAGGGAAGGACCGATTTAGTGGGTTTTTGTATGCAATGCATGCAAGCTGCAGAACACTTTATCTGAGCTCTTGCTTGTGGAAACATGCGGTTGGGATTGGGACGACCTTCCTGCTCAGGCCGTTTGATACAAGCACTGCATTGCTTGCTTTCCGGCCGAAGAACAGGCTTCAGTTCCTGACGGGCGACCGACCGACCGTACAAGGCATACTGCGATGCCGATCCGTATTTGATTAGGGGGGGATTGCACTGCAGCAAACATCAGATCCAACCCAAGACATTGTTCGAGACACGCGATGTCCGTCTACCGGTTTCTGGGCTGTGGGGAAAGATGCTAGCTAGTATTGGGATTGAACGAATTATTTCGGAAGGGCAATCTGGGCTAGGGAGATCGGTGGACACGGAGCACGTGCGGGCTATGGATAGTGTATTTTACGAAGCGTGGCATTTTTGTCTTTTTGATTTGTTTGGCGGAGTTCAGAACGGCCTTGCCTGGATATCATTCGTGTTGGTATGAAAGAGGAGACGGCCGACAGATGAGGGGTCAAAGCGTCGGGGAGGGGGAGGATGGGTGGTGTGAGAGGAGGGAGGGAAACAATGATTGCGGGCAGAGGGTTCAGGTTTTTTTGGCGCTGCGCGGTCATTACGATGATTAAGGAGAACGACGCTTCATCCTGAACTGACGTGACGCCTTGTGTTGGTTCTTAGGCATGAGGATGATGACAAGAGTTTAGTTAGGTGGCGGTTGGTTGGTTGGTTGGTTGGTTGTGGCTTTCCTGTCAAACACCGTCCCCCTCCACGGACGGAACCGGCAGGGTGGTATTCGTTCATGACGACGATGACCAACACCACCACCACCACCACCACCACCACCACCACCACCCTGTCAGTGTCAAGCAAACTCAGAGTTTCTGGCAAAAAGAAGGAAAAAAGTTCAAGGGTCGATAGTTCCCGGGTTCCCACGCAACGGGAGCGACACGGAGATCAGCCCGCTGGGATGAACTCTGCCAATCCCCTATTTTTGTGATGTCCTGCGGGGTGCTATTTCTGACATGAGTTCTGGTCTTGCACTGCGATTTTCCTTGGGGAAGTTCAATCTTAAGTAATGTGTGTAAACGACGAACAATCTCCTGCGCGCGCCCAACGGGGATTGCAAGAGAGGTAGAAAGAGTCATGCACCTGGCGACGAATTGTCATTAATGCGATTGAAAGTCGAATCGTCGATTGGGCTCCTGGTTCTAGCAAGACCCGGGCTGGATGATGGCAGCAGAAACCCATTCGTCGCATGTTGGTGGGAGGATGCGTCGAAAGCAGTTTCATTAAGCACTTCTTTTAATATAGACGGCGACGTTATTATTGTCTTTGCCCCCATTGAAAGGCAGGCAGGCCGGGACTCCGGCGCGTGCAGGATTGGGACGTTTCAAGCTTTCCCGTCCCCCTGGATCGTTTTGCCAGGTTGTGCTCGTCAACCCGTCACCGACGAGTTGTGTTGCCTTTTGCTCCCTGACTCTCGCGGCCTCTCGAAGATGGGATTCCACTGACAAATGGCGTCGTCGAATGTGCCCTTTGAGGCATGGTAGCGTCTCGCAAGCCTTTTCGTTAGCGGGAACGGTGGCGTTGCCAACGGGAAAGGGGGCAGACGGGTGGCATGCAGGAGAGGAGAATGCTGCTGGAGCTAAGAAGAAACGGCTTCGTCCATCGGTCGTGGTCTTTTTCGAGCTTGCATCTCTGAATGGCCGGTTCAGGATGGAATTGGATGTTCTTAGGAGGAGAAGACTGGAAGTAGTGCACCGGAGTCTGGCCCCATGGAAGGCGAGGTGCCCCGTGCTCTTTTCCTACCTGCCCTGGCCTGTAAGGTAGCCCAGGGCAGGTACCTATGGGATGATGGTCCGTCCTCCGGGGAGGTGCAGCGCAGTAAGGTACGAATAGGTAGGTAGGCAGGCACTTGCAGGTAGAAAGCACCGTCCACCATCCACTACGGCCCCCGGCGGAGGACGGTTGACGAGCTCAGGAATGATTACAAGCCAATAGCGACCCTCCACTGGCCTCGCCTCCGGGGGCGCCACCCTTGAATTGCTCTCCCTAACCCCCGAAAGGGAGAAGACCCAGGGGGGAGCGGGCAGCAAGAGGACCACCCGCCGAGGACCAACACGGCGAGGTGGGCGTCGATGGGCGGACATGAAATTGGAGAGTGACATTTTGCCATCTTTTTCGTCTCCCTCAGTGTCACTCACCACTAATCCTTAATCGCTAACTGTGCGCGTTGCTACCTTGCCGTGTTGGAGCTATCCCAACCTGTGTCCGTTGACAGCTCTTTTTCCCCCTCGCTCTTTCTCTCTTTTTTTTTCTCTCCTGCCACTGCCCAACTCTGCGTCGCGAGGTACAGCAGCAGCCACCTCATTCCCTCGTCTCATCCTGTCTGCGTTGGACAACGCCCCCTTGACATTACTACATTGACGTACCTTACCTCACCATACCGTCCTTCTTTATTCTCTTCTCTCCCCTTCGTTTTGGGCCCTTGATGGCTCTCTTCCCCCTTCAGAGTACCTTTTGCCTAGTTTAGTCGCTGACGGATCCAATTTCTTCTTTACTCTTTGCTTCCTTAGTGCTCTGTCGCAGCCCTGTCTGTCATTGGAGCCGTAATTTACCATTCACTTCTCTCTTCTCTTCCTACCCATCTTACCTGGGCCTAGCTGTGTACATCCAATTGTGTTATCCGCTCTCCAGCAGCACTATTCATAGCTGCGCGGATAGACAGACAGATACATACACTAGCCGTCTGGAGGATATCTCGTTCTATCCCTCCCGTTCTCTTCTCTGTCCAGCACAGCACAGCACCCGCAGCACGCGCTCCAACCCTGCGTGCGTGCCATCTGCGCAACGCAGGTCCATCACATCCCCATCCCGCGCGTCAACCGCACTCTTCCTGCCACACCCCCCGAGGTCCGGCATTGACAAACACGACCAGCCTCTCCCACACCCAGCACGGCATTCCAGCTAGACCGGTCCAAGATCAGACCCCCCTTCCCTCCAAGTCGGATTCGGCCTCCACACCGGCTCTCTGTCTGTCTGCCGCAACCCTCTCCTACCCCCCGAAAAAAAAGAGACCGACCAAATCCCTCTTCTCAACCCCTCGTCGCCAAAAAAGAAACGACCAGGCCAGGACCACACAAACACCTCTCTGTGTCTTCACATTTTGTGCTTCACAGAGCTCAGGTTTGTGCCCATGTGCGGCTCGCCCATGCTCCTTGGCCTGTCCTACATGTTGCCGCCGCCTTTGCCGCTGCTTCTGCCGCGCCTGCAATCGCCCTCCTTCTCAGCCTTACCCCTGAAAATCGCAACCGCCATCGGTCAGGTCTGCCTTTGCTAAGCGACGACGACCCCCTTCCGAACCACTTTTTTGTTCTTCCTCCCAGCAGAGAAGTCCAGAATCCAGAATCCACACCCCGAGCTCGCCCTGCGTTGCGCTGCGCTCTCGTCCCCTGGGGTTCACCGGCCCAGCTCCCTCAGCTCCTCACTTCCGGTCGCGAAACCCTTCACCGGCCGCGCAATCCACCGCCGACTGCCCACGAACGAACCCCTCCGATCCGAAGCCCACCGCGCATTACCGTAGGCCGGCGAGGCCACCGAAGGGAGGATGTCACTCAATGGCCTGGACGACCCCAAGGTCAAGGAGGCCCACGACGCCGCCGTTGCGGAACCCGGAGGATGGTATGATGATCCCCTCCCCTCCCTTTCCAGTCTTTCCTCCCGCCTTCCCCACCATCATA